TCGTATATTTCACTCGTATATCGTCTCAATCAAATATGTGTATAAATATTTATCATTTTTGTGTTAGGTTTTGTCTACCATTCTATTAGAAGTAAATAAGGTGTACCGAATGACTTCTTTCGTTAATTAGGTATGTATATCTAGTTTGACCTTCCTATTCTAGTTTGATAACTCGTCTTATCTATTCTCTATATGAAAAATTACATGAGTATTATCCGAAACGGGTACTTAGTTTTCTTATATATTTTAAACTTGACATTTAACTAAGTAAAATACATTTATCATGTACTAATAGTTCATTCTGGCTTTACCCAGGTGCAGTTCAACTTAGACGACAAACAGCATCATAAGTATGTTAGTTTTGTAAATATAGTATTAACATAATATATAGCCTATGTCACCATAGAACAATATATCTCTCAAACATTGAAAGAATTTCATAAAACGACGCAGTTTCCGGAGTTTACTTTCCTCATAACAAAATCTGCTCACTCTATAATGTCTGTATAGATAATAGTAAGGTAACATTGACTTTTCTCTATCACAATCACAATTTCTTTCAGAATACAACAATAAATCAAATAAATACAGTTATTTTTATTATTATATGCGAGAACGTTTTACTAGATCTCACCTGTAGTTAGCAGACGACGTGCTCTGTGATATTTGTCGTAACCTCAAATAATGTCCATTGAAACTAGCCATTACATACTCCAGATTATACTAGATGGGGAAACATATATATCGAGAGATTATTTCACTTCTTTCTAAGTCTTTCGAGTATAAAACAAAGAAACTACTTTGTGCTAATAAATTGCAAGTGAACTTCTCTCACGGCAGTTGTTAAAATTACAAGTATTTATTATAAGTAATTCATCAAATCAAAAATCAAATATAGGCAGCACGCAAGTGACTCCATATTTCAGGCGTCCATAGTCTATGGTAACCGTTTACTATCAGATGGGCCGCAAGTTTGATTGCCGACGTAGTACTATAAAAAATTTACTTCTTGACATGATGATCAATAGAGTACAATATATTTAGCTGATATAATCTCACAAGTAATTAATAGTATAATAAACTTATTATTGATTAAATGATATGAGCAGTGCAAAAATGATATAACTACAATCCTTCATTTTCAATATAATTTTAAAGCCACAAACGTTATTAATTTTCCATCTATCCATTTCCATCATTTCAAAATACTGTTTATAATTACGTCCAGTCCAGTTGCATTCGATTATGAAGAGTGAGTCTGATACCTATCATAATTTGTCGCGTGTAGTGAATAGACCTTGTGTAATATTACACATAATATATTCGCAATTTCCTCCAATTGACATGAAAGCTCTATAAATGGAACAAAGTACATTTTAATTAAAATTCACATACGCGTTTACAGCAAAAGCGTGTAATTTAGTGTACAAAATATTTCAAATTAATAAAGTACAACACTTACTGAATGCATTTCATTTAGTTTTAACCGACTTTAAAAATTAAGAGCTTCTAATTTCGACTATTTTTTTGTGTGATTACCTCAGACCTCTTCTATAAAAGAATTATAAAAATCAGTTCGGGTTTTCATGATTCTTTTTTTATTTCAAAAATGATACTTCTTTTGCGATTTCATATATTGATCAAGATTTGAACTCAGTTTTTTAGTTATCCTTTATAATACCTACATCCTAATAGAGTCAATTATTTTGTGGTCTAAACAACAACGTTATTATTGGTTAAACATTTCTAAAAAGCTGCAAGTAAGCTTGTAAGGACTGAAAATATAGTGCTAAATTGAGATAATTTTATTAACAACAAACAGCTCATAATGCAAACTAGACAAGTAGCTACGTTAGCGCTCTACAAAGAATTTATATAGTATTAAGATATGGTATTAGACCAATTTATATGGTTACTTTGATTAAAATAAACTTTAATTTACTTTATTTATCAACTCTGTAGGATATTTAAAAATAAAAGATGCTATGATCTCTGCTATTGTAATTTGACGATTTTTTTACATATGAAATTTTGTCAGTATAGAGAGCTGATATTCTGATTTAGGATGTAGTTTTAGTGAAATTTTGTGAAAAGCTGAAAGTATGATTATTTGAAAATACAATTCTTTTAATTGCATTTTTATTGGCGAACAGCATAATTCCTTATAATCATTTTATAAGATATAATTTTAATATTTTTTTATTTATTATTATTTTCGTTAAGCAAGAAGTATTCAAATTACTAGTGGTTTAAATCTAAAAATAGCTACCGGCCTGCGACATATACACATATACATTCATATTAATACCTACTACGAGACAACTAATTAAATTAATGAATATCAACAAATTCGTACAACATAACACAAACTCTTTAGCAAGCAATTGTTGTTAGTAGCTTATGATGTTATGTTTAAATTTATAATTTAGCACGAGTGAGATGAAAGCTGCAATGCTACCTGATAATAAAATGATAAGAGAATACAATGAAGAACAGTGACTCATCATCTCAGTCATTTACGTTAACAAAATACAAAATGAAGGTTTGTTTATTGCTTTGATTCTGAAAGAAAAGGCGATGGATTGATATGGTTTTGACGATGAAAGTGAATAAAATTTAAACTACATAAAGAAAGATGGGTATTTCTGTCATACTCAAAGTTCGCGAAAAGCATTATAGCAAGAAAATTTTGAACACTTCGCATCTGTAATATCGATATTAGTTGTCTACATTGCAACGGCCGTATAATTAATTGCGATGTATGTTTATGGTAAACTGGCTGAATCCCTTTATCTTACCCACCCTTACTCGTGTAAAAAGTTTATGTGTTAATGTGAGAGATCAGATAGACCATCTGTGTACGAAATTTTAGCGTTAAAGTGTAACAAATAATCATTCATCTTCCCATACACGCAAAATATTTAGAAACCCACATTCTGTAATTGTTTCACGAGTTCAAAATAACGTTATTGTTTATTTACACTAATATATATATATTCTATTTATATGAAAATATTCAACTAGGACTCTCATTGCAATAAAAATTATAAACTCTATTGGAAACTTATATTTTACAGACTTTGTTGTACACTCTGGGAAATGTAACGTAGGAAGTAAGTCTACTCAACATAAAATTCTCAGCCAATCTTTTCTTTGTTATCTTTCAATAATAGCTTGCAGACAAAAGTGAACGGCTTTAAATCTTATAGTCGCGTATGAAATTAGGAACGTAATTTTCATTTATCTTTTATGGTCTCTAAAACCCCCAAATTATCCCGTTTGTTTATCGTTCCTTCTGTACCACGTGCAAGGGAACTACTTACACATAGGGCAGACATTACTTACAATATATTCAGTCATTATTGTTATCATCTGCATAATTCGCCGTTTCGTTTTACATAATGAGTTCAGACCTATGAATAAGAATATGAGGAGTCATTCGCAGTACGTTCCCTCGCTGCATTGAACAAATCCACTTCATATAGTTTTGTTTTCATATAGCTATGTATTTATATTAAATAAATTAAGTACATAAGTAAGTATAATATAATTTACTTTACTGTGATAAATATTATGTCTAATATAAATATGATGTTTATTATAATTACAATGAAACGGTGTTTGGGCCGTGCTAAATTTTATTGTGCAGAATATTTTTTATTCATGAGAACAAAATCCGGACCCACTATGACAATTATGATTACATAAAAGATTCAAAGCATTAACCAAACATAATACACAGTGTTCACTAGAAAAATGTATATGGGCGTTTAATTCTTAATTAAGAATGATTTTTCATATACTAACCCGCAATTAATTTTAAACGAGTAATTCTTGAAATAGATCCCAAAATATTAAGTGAAGATGAGATAATAGTGAATTAATCCTCTTCAACTTACGATTGTCACTGCATATCTGCACCAGCACAAGAAAATTCAATCCCATTAGTGTCAAAATGAAGCACTTGACGAAACAATAGATTCGCGGTAATTCGCCCCGTGGCCGCCCCACGTGCGGTCCGGGCGGGTTCCAATCATCCAACTGCGCCATATAGATGCGCAGTTGCCCTTATTTAGCACAGGTACCCTCATAATAATACTACATAACCGACCCCTAAACAAAGGACTACCAATCAATTAGGGTCAGATATTCTAGCCGACGATCGTCGACGATTACGAAGGTTGAGACTAAAACCTACATTGCTGAAAAGAAATCGTCCATTAACTATTACTTTCCAAACACTCCAAAACTACGTTCATGGCTCGACACTGGCATATGACGCGGCAAAAGAAGAAAAACGCGCAATATGCGCCAGAGAGAGACAGGAATACATAAATTAACTAAGTGTTAGAGCGAGAAGAGCTCAAACATTTTGTAAGCTGATAACCAGAGGCAGCGAACAGAGCGAGGGGAACCATATTCTCGCGCGACTCTGCATGAATGTAATGAATTAAGATTCAATGGTATAGGCAAGACTTTGTGCGTGCGTGTGAATCGTTTTCAATAAAAAGCTTCGTGCTTAGGAAGTACTTACCTAACATGTATTTTATTTCATTGTATACCCAAATGGTGGTGAATGCATAGTTAATTATCTAATTTAATTAGAATCTAATTAGAATTTGTAATTAGACTATAATTACCATAGGTGCTTTTCACGAACTTTGTATGGATCGGCTATTCATTTCAATGGGAGGTTACACAATGAAGCAAGGAGGAAAACATTTCTTAAGATCACAATAATTCAAGGTCTCCCTTGAACAGAATTGAATAATATAAGGTAAATAAGAAACTGGAAAGCTAGACGTTTCGTAAGCATTCAAAAGGCACGTTATCCCTATCGATTCAAGGATACATCCTTACACTCAAATACATGCGCTGCAGTATAGAGGCGCTTTCGTTTTGAAACAAAGCAGTCGCGAAACGCGCCCATCGAATGCGTGGCGCGATTGTACAGGATACACACACGCAAACGAATGCAAAAATTAACAAGTGATTTTTACCTATACATCCATGGAAATGCAATCCATCATTGGATCCTCTAGTATCCCACGTCCGAGACACGCACACAATGCCAGCGCGCACACTAGCGCACCGGACCTCCTCACGCGAAGGGAAAATCTTCACACACGACACAGATAAACATGTCAACTGCTAGACATCGTTACCGCAAAGTTCTTTCACGTTTATCACCACAAATCACTATAATACACAAATGATAACACAAACAGCATAAATGAACACAGAAACACGTAATTATTTCGCAATATCACCCGCGTCCAAGTCACGAACACGACGATTTCGACAAAAATACGCGTAGGTATTGTAGTGTCGATTCGGCGACTGTTCTCCCCGCCCTGTTCCAGAGACGAATGGTGCCGCCATATTGAATCTCACTTAATGGCGCACAGTGGCGCATCTAGCGGCGATCGTCGGAACCAGAGAGTCTTCAGAGTCGAATCATTTAAACTACAGTTAATATTTCCTGAAAAATGATTGGTAAAACCCATGTTTAAATTAATATATTATCAGGCTTTTGTATATCATAAACTAATAATTTCTACCTATAAAGTATCACTTAAAGTAGTTCATTTATAAATAGAGTTTAGATAGAATAACCTTAAACAAGCACGTTTCGTGTTAGGATCATGTTAAAGTTAAACAATCTACCGCTAGATAGCGTTGATAAACACGTTTAGACAGTACAAAATAATATAGTATACAATGGGATTAAAATTAATCGATCTAGTGTTCTTTTTCTGTTGAAATTGAAATAATATTTTTCTTTAAGTATAATTTTTTACCCTATTGTGTATTATTTGTAAAACTGTAAGAGAGAATTGTTATTTAGTGAGAACTAATGGCTCCATTGCAATGTAAGCAATGAATACCAGAGCGATCTCTATGTAAACAGTCGGTGGTACAGTCCTATTTTGTAAATGATTGTGTTAAATTGCTATGTGAATTTTGTTATGGTGGGTTAACTGACCTGTTTTGATCTCTATCAATACATCTATCTATAAAGCAGTACTACTATTCAAACCTCATAGACTAAAAACGTTAGAGAGTATCTTAAATATATTCTTTAGGTTCTATTAGTATTCTACAGTGTATTGTATTACAAATTATTTTTAACTTAAAAACCTTTGTATTGCCGTTGTATCGAGTTAGGTTTTTAGAGAGTCGTCTCTATTTCAGCTGTCAAGTACAGCTTACTTGCTTTGGAAGATTTGTTTCAGCTGAAGGGTGACTGAGTGAAATTATAAAGTATGGAGGCATAATATGTTAGCCCTTCGTAACGGCGAAACTTCGAGTACGTCTGCCACTCACCAAACGGTGAAACGCTGGCACGTTAGCTACATTAGTTACATCTCTATTAGTCTATTAATATTATAGCTTAAAATTTATTAGTATTGTACTATGTCATGGCTCACTTATATAAATATACAGGGTATTCTACCCTAATGGTTACATGACTTGCCATTGAGTTTTAATTTCTATTTTTATTTTCTAGTGTATTAATATTATTTATTCACCTCTCTAATAAAACCCTTCATCCTATAGACGCAGTAAAGGTAGTGAAATAATTATTCTGTTATTACATGGACATATCTAAATATAATATGTATGTACAATAAATAATAATCAATGAAAATACTATTTATAAAATGTACTACAAATGTTTATCATTTGCAAATATTACGTTTCGTATGTCCATTAAATACACTTTATAATTTATCTTTACCCTCCGGTTCTAACGAAAATGTATTTATCATAACTTGTAGTATTTGCCGTACATATGCATATATATGTAGATAATATCTACTACTACAGAGACTATAAACTCTACATATTTATAATAGAATTAGTATGTAAAATTTGATCTTGAATTTAAAAAAAAATATATTTCATAATATATATATATATATAGATGTATATAATTTTATAATCTATATATATATTGTAAAATTTTCCAAATTACCAACATCGGCTTTTCAATTCCTTTTCAAAAGATACTATGAATAGTATTAATAATAATAATTTTTATTTTTCAACAAACATTTATATTTTACATTGTTCTCTGGTACCTAAACTAAGTAAAAACCTGTATGTAGTGCAATTTAGGTTAAACTTTCCTCCTCTTACAATTTTTGAAATTACAATTTAGATAGAGTTTTCAAAATGTTGACATAAATATCAACTTGTCAACACAAATGAGTAATACGTTTACGAATCCTTCATATTCTGCTATATCTACTTTGAAACTCGATATCAATTCATGCAATCATACAGTTCATTGCATTCATGAAATATTGAATCGATCTGATACATGTTATTTACTATGTACACAATATGAGTTGTGCTTGATCTACATGTTATGAATAAGAACATGTGTTCTGTATTTTACGAAATTTAGAGTACATATTAGTAAGCTTTGGTTTTTTTTTCAATTCACTTTTATCAATATATATTAAAATAGTAAATGTAATAGTAAACATGTATGTCTATTTACGTGACTGCAATTATTATTAATAATAATAATACTCGGTTTCAGCTCGTAAGCGTAGTACACATATCATTTAAAGCCGAGGAAACTAAACAAAAAATAATAATATATAAAATTGGACAATTTATAGCCATTGATAAGCAGAGCTTGTGTTATGGGTAGTTAACTGGTCGAAATAATGAAACATATATTTTGTATGTACATAGCATATATATATATATATAAAGTTTGATGTGGAGACAACCTAAAACTCGAAGATTAATATAGGTGAGGACTAACTTTATTACTCGACTTTGCTCACATTCATTACGACAAATAAATGTTTACTGATTAGAATCCAAACTACGTACCTTTAAAAATTGGGTAAATATAGTTGTTAAATTAAAATAAAATTAATTTTAATCGAATTCGCGTAGCTGTTAAACGAATATGAATAACAAATATTTAAATATTAATGCAATATTTACACTTATAATAGTAAAATGCAATCATCAATGCTATCCCACGATAAAAATTTTACGTCGCCAATATTTTTTTAAAAACATGCCTGTTCTATCTTTTAACTTCTAGCTCTACATTGCGCGTAGCAGTAATAAAATCAATATGCTACTAGTATACGAAACTCATATATCACCACCTCGTCTACTGTACTGTCCAATAGATTGGATATAGAAATGAGGCCTATAAATTCAGTGTACTCGCATAGTAGACAGAATTTATAGGCTTCAATCTCTATCCAGTACCTACCGCAAAAACATTCTTGAACTATACGCTACCATTTAATCTCTAAAACCGAAAATTATACAATAAATTGTAATTGTACAAAACCTATTATTGCGTAAGTTGTTAAAGAAAAAAGATACATATGTATATGTAACAAAAAATAATTTCGTCATTAAATTGTAATGTATTAAATTGTATTAAATTAGTATATATCGATGTCCTAAAATTCTTTAATGATAGCACTTATTCAAATTTAATGCACGATATTGATATAAAAGGATAGGGTTACCAAAACAGCATTACAACTTTCACTATTTTGCCAATTTCAGTTCATTTATTACCCACCAATCTGTCCGCAAAAGCCATTACTGGCAATGAGCCAATACTAATATAGAGGTGACACAGTATATTTTAGACATTAGGTTATACGAGGCCAAATAACTGTGCAGACCTAATGAGGGTATGGAAGATGAGGCAGATTGCTGGATTTCACTTCTACTGGAAGTTGTTTATATTACATTACATTAAATGTTACAAGAAATGTGGTACATATGAGACATTGGAAGGAGTAATGACATATTAATCTCAGCATGAGGTAAGGTAACTTACAACGAATTTTATTGACAAGACGACGTGATGCCCATTGCTCTGTTTATAACGACAACGACGATCACTGATCACTGTTACTAATAAAATGATAATCCATTTTGTCAACTCAATCCACATACTACTTCTAACAACATTTTTCTAGTTATTTTTATAATACTTTCGTATAAAAGTTGTGAAAAAAAATATATAATAAAAATTACTGGAACTAGCTTTTTAAACATTTATCAATAACAGCCACCTACTGATAAGCATTTTATGATGACTTTTATTTTATATTTTATCTCTCAGAAAAGTGAAAGAAATCACTCTTGCGACAACCAATAAGACTACATTCATACTAATTCATACCCCATACTATTATTACAAATGCGAAAGTGTCTATTTTTCTGTTTCTATTTGTCATCATTTCACAACTAAACGGATGACGAGACCGTAATGAGATTTAACATGTATATTGTTTTACATAGGCTACATTTTATCTTAAAAAATAATCTGTGGAGTGTGAAATATGAATGAAAGTTTGTACAGAGGAGTTCGCTGGTAACACCTACTAATAATACTGTAAAATAACAGTGACATTGTAAATCAGGCTCGTGTCCGTCACGCTGCAACGGAGGTGATATCAAAAATTTCTCTTTACACTAATGGGTTCTGTGTCTCAGTCTATATACGCCTACATAACTATATATACTAATGATGAAAGAGCATATTTGTCACGTTTCTAATTTCCAGTCAAAAAATAACGAGCGATTGTCCACTTTCACGTAGACAATTAGTTGTATTTTTTGTAGATGATAATTGAGTAGTTAATCCTCTGTTATAGTTTTATGTATATAACTGGATAGGGTAACTGAAAACTGAAGGCCCTCCTTATGTTATAGGTGACCGCCGACTATATATATTATCAGGTGGAAGGAGACTGTTAGTAATGTGAAATGATAACTCCATTAGTAGCAATGTATCATGTCAAGTAGACCTCTAAGTGGTACCTGGAAATAACCATGTTAAATTTCTGGTGAATTTGCCCCGTGGGCCAAGTAACCTGACCTCATGCACATCTAATCATTCTCCGATGGTGCCCCGCCAGTGTAAACCGTTAGCGAAGGCGTGTGCATCATACCATTATCATTCATAGAAAATATATATAATACATTAACACCGCAAACGCTTGTCACGTGATATTAAAATATCACGTGTCGAGCACGATATCACACAAGCTTTGCCATTGCGGAGACCTAAGACGTTACCTAAATTTTTTTGTTTCATCTCATCTAATAAGTTTGTTGCATGAGTGAAATACCTGACAACTGGACTATAGTATCTAAAGTTCGCTACTTGACTGTAGTAGTTGTGACTGAGGTATACGTCAAAGGATTTTACAAAGTTTATCTCAGTCGGTGGTATACCGAAGTATAGACGATGATTATCGTGGAGCACCAGTTTTACAAGGACCTTACGTTGCGTCACCTCATGCACATGTCAATGACAC